CTACTCTCTCTCCAAAACTCAAGCTTTTGGCACTAAGATTTCTAGATCTACTCACCTAGAGTGATCTTTTCACCATGGTCCTTTGAGAAAAGTGTAGATCTTGTCAAGGGCATCGTTTTGGTCAAAATAGTTCGTGGTTTCGTCACCTTTGATTTTTGGGTCACCATCTCTTGGCTTCAAGAGGTAGGGGTTTCTAGTTCTCTTTCAATACCTTCGTTTATGGATAGATTTGTGGTATTTTCTTTATACAAATACAAAAGTTTATATTTTCATGCATATTGTGATGAATCACAAGGTTGGGGGTTAGGGTTTGAAGAGAGTTGGGTTTATTTGTTGGGTTATGATCTTGGGTCATGAGTTTGGGTGTAAAAGTAATAGAAGGGTTGGAATAAAATGTGTTTTGTGAAAAGGTTTAATTTCGCTTAAAAACCCTAAGTTGATTCATGATGATAATTAATGATTTTGCGCAAATTGAAAGTAGAATCATGAAATTGAGGTATTGAGTTATAAATATAGAAGTTTAATTGAATTTTGGAAGTGTTTGAAAATCATGTTAAAAATTAGCGAATGAATCCTTATTATGGACATTGTAAATCATGCTATAATGTGAAATGAAGATTGGGGAAAATGATTTATTAATGATATGGATGGCATGAGCCTTGGGGTGAAATGATGAAATGAAAGTTTAAGAGTTCACCATGAATTATGTTGAATTGTGTTGAGTTATGTAGAATTGTGTTGATTAGGTTGAAGTGAGTTGACTATGTTGAATTGTGTTAATTATGTTGAATTGTGTCGAGTTATGTAGAATTGTGTTGAGTATGTTGAAGTGAGTTGACTATGTTGAATTGTGTTGAGTTGTGTTGGGTGTGTGGAGTATGGGTTGAGTTGTGTTGGGTCGTGTTGTGTTGGTACCCAAGTGGGGAGTTGAAAAATGGTTTTTCGGTACCCACAACCATCCGTATCATAGCCGGTAAATGTGGGGGATTGTTTTCAAAATTGAAAAATGGTTTTTCGGTGCCCATAATCGTCCGTATAATAGCCGGTAAATGTGGGGTTGGTTTGAATTCAGGGTGACCAATTGCCCTGTCTAGGCATATCATTGGACGAATGTGGGAAAAGTGTTTTTGGGTGTCCACACAGTCCTGCCGTATTGTAGCCGGCGAAAGTGAAAAAACGGTTGGTTTTCAAAAATGTTTTGGGTGCCCACGTCCTGCCGTATAATAGTTGGCAAATGTGAGGGATGGTTTTTAAAAGGTTGAAAACAGTTTTCGAAAAGGACATGGTTTTTGAGAAAATGATTTTTGGGAGTTCACTTCCCGCCATATAATAGCCGGCAAAAGGTGGAATGTGCTATGAATTGGGTGCTTGCTATCCCGCCGTATCAAGTCAGCAAAAGATGGAATGTGTTGTGACGTGTGTTGAGGTCGGTGATAATATATGTGACCTGCGATGAACTTGTGAAATTACCATTTGATGTGTAAACGGGTACGGAATGGAAATGCATATAGAAGTTATTTGAAAAGAATGGATAATGAAATGGTAACTGGATAAGGGGTTAGTGATAAAGAACTCATCAGGTTGTTTGTATCTATAAGGAAAAAATTAAAAGTTTTGTTTTATGATTAATTGAGAAATTGAAGTAAAAGGATCTATTATCCTTGGGGTATGTTGAATTATGATTGATAATGCACATGTGGATATAATATAGTTGTGATATGTTGAATTATAGTTGATAATGCAAGTGTGGATGTGATGTAGTGGTTAGATAAGTAGGAGTTGAGTATGGGATAACAATTATTGACTATAAAAGAGATTTAGATTTTTGTATTGAGGAGTTACAGCAAATATGAATTGATGTGTGGGAATAGCACGTATGTGGGATGTTTTTGAAGTATTAAGGAACTTGAACTTGAGGTTATGACGTTATAACTAGAAAAGGGGAGAATGGGAAATAAAAGAAGAATATTTTGGAATGTGTTAATAAATATAAAATGATGTGGTTCCTTAAACATGTTCGTTTCCAAAAAGGATTTTTGGTTTTCTGATAAAAGGGATAGTTTTTGATGGTTAAAGGTTTTCCTTAAATGTTCAAATAAAATTTGAGAAAAAGGTACTCTATGTATGATATTTTGAAATTATAGAATGTCACCTACTATATGGTATCACCCTACATGCATGATCATTTCTATCTATAGGATGGTTATTATTTTAGAACTATGAGATTCCTACTGGGCAATTGTGCTCACCTCTTGTTGTTTCATTTTTTTTTTACAGGAAGAGATTTCGGATTGATGGCTTGAAGGATTAGGAAGTTCATGTGTATCTTATGTGTAATCTCTTTGTACCTTGATGTTTGTACTTATTTATTTGTAACTCCGTAGCGGGAGCTTGGCATGTGTTTTTATTATTATTGGTGTACTTATCATGAGAGAGGACAAGTACTATTATGTTTCTATTACTCAATAGTAATAGATATTTTGGTAATGTTTTTGTGTAATTAAAATTGGGGCGTGACAAATCATATAGCCTGATTACCTTGTCTGGAGCCAAAACAACAGAAGCATCCAATATCATGAGTTGAGATTTTATCCTGCATGCAAGCCAACCAAGAAAGGTACTCCATAGGAGTGAATGAACCTTCTTTGTTTTCATTTGTCCTATACATTTAGCAATTTTCAGATTTTCATTTATAACTTATTTTCATTTTTGGTCTAATTTTTTTCCCTATTAGTTCTAACAAAGACTGAGCAAAGGAATGAATTAAGGAGCTACGGAGCTAATTACTACAGTTGCCTAAATCCTTGATTTCTATTTCCAGGTACGCCCTTCAATCTATGAATTACATATTCCCAAATTTTCTTTCTTCATTCACCAAAATTTTCATTCTAGGCCCTCATGTCATTTCCTTCTCTCTTCATTATATATCTCGTCACATCTGTTCATATATATATATGGATTATTCATGGTTATTTCCAAGTGTATGGATTTTGTTAATTTTTGTTTTTTAATCATTCTATTGGGTATTTTTTTGGAAGTTAAAATAAATTATAGACAGACTATTTGGCATTGAAAAGATTCAGACTCCTAAAAAAGTTGTTCTAATTTAATCATAGTGACATGACAGATTATCTCACAAATTTTTGATTTGTTACAATTCAACCATCCCCATCTTTGCGGTTGATCCTCTCCTTTTTGATAGTATCATTGAGATATTTTTTTGTGCTATTTCCCAATTTAATGAATGCATAAAATGAATACTAGAAGATGGTAAATATTGGCCCTGGGGTGGGAAATTTGCATATGGCATGCAGAGGATTATGGTTGAAAAAATCGTATCGAATTCATGAAGAACTATGTTTTCCCCTGTATTCTTTTCTTATTTTTTAATGTTATTTTTGATATGTCGACAGAAGGAATAATATAATTTTGTCCAAAATTTTGTTGTTGCAATGAAAAATTTTGTTATTTTTATTTGTGTTGCTGCACAAAAAAATAAAAAATAAAAAATAACTATATTGTAATTATTTTATAATTATCCCACTGAATTATAATTTTCACAATTATTAATTGCTCTAATTTTAAATTCCTACGTAATGGAAAGCCCAAACCATAGTAAAAGGCCCCTCAAAAAATAATTCAACTAGTTACCAAACAATAGAAAAAATAGGAGTTAGGTATAGGTCGTAATAGGTGTACTTATTGTCCAATAAGTCTTATGATAATTAATGGTACTTTTTATCAAATAGTATTAAAATACGTTGCTAATTGCTAATTTTCAACAACAGTTTGAAAATTTTGTCACAAAAAATGTCACTAATTACGTGTAGGTCTTAATATGTGTACTTATTGTCCAATAGGTCCTATGATAATTAATCGTATTTTTCATCAAACACAATTAAAATACGTCGCTAATTGTTAATTTTCAACACTAGTTTAAAAATTTTGTCACAAAAAATGTCGTTAATTATAAGTTTAAGCGATAGTTTAAAAAATTGTCACAAAAAGAGTCACTAATTTTTAACTTTCAATGACCGTTTGATAATTTTGTCACAAAAAAATCACTAATTGTAAGTTTTAGTGACAATTTATAAAATCGTGACAAAAAAAAGTCACTAATTGTCAATTTTTAGCGACATATACAAAAACAATCGTGACAAAAAATGATTTTTAGCGACGATTTTATTATTACTAATTTTCAATAGGACTTGATGGGAATTAAGTCCAACTATTAGGATCTATTAGTAGTTTACTCTAGAAAAAAGAGTTCGATGTTTAATTATTAATTGGACAAATCTATATTGCAGTTAACTAAATTATTCATTGCATGATAGATAAATTTGATTATATATGCTTAGTTAGTAATTTTGTTGTTAAAAATGTAAGAAAAGGAATATTTAAGTGATATTTTGTTGTATTTAGATTAATTTGGATTGATTTATGTAGCCGACTCCATTTGATGAGACTTAAGGCTTGGTTTGGTTGGTTAGTTTGATTTATGGCTTTATTTTTCATTTGGTATTTTTTTTCCCTTTGTTGTATATTGAGTCTTGCTAAGCCATGAAATAACAAAATCAAATTATTTTATTTTATTTTTATCTTTTTGAGTTCTTATAATGATTTGCTAAGATCTTAATCTATGTAAGAAAATTTTGGTAATCATATTCAAACAATCTCTGTGTGGGTGCTAATAAATAAATAATTGTGGGTAATTCCTATTACATTGGCTTAGCACCCGTAAATGTTCAAAATAGGTCCTGTATGAATAATCCAATTTTTTTATTTTATTTTATTGATGACATTATAGTCAAGAAGATTAAAATTTGCAAAGCTAAAAGGGTTGGATTGTGCATCACCCAAGCATAAACAATAGCACTTGAGTCTTGCAAAGCACATGCAATTATATATATATATATATAGAAGGACAAGGGATGGTCAGTTTTACATTATTAATCCATGCCAAAATGAAATTTTAAAAGTACCAAATTTGTGTTCTCCTTCTAGGAACCTCCGGGGCCCCCATATAGTACCAGATGCCCAAAGTGAGCCCCCCTGTATCCTTCATCTTTCACATCATACAGTTTTCTATTGTTTGTAAACTCGTATGTTTGAGGATTTATTATATCCTGTCCACTTGGACTCTTAAGTGCAATATTCCTGAAGTATGCATCATATCTGGTGTCCTCAATTAGAAAATAACCTGCTCCCATTGCAGGTTTTGGGGTGCCCGGTGGACTAAATACCTCTCCTCCCCATTCAGCATGTGAAGCTAAGTTTGCTAATCCGCCGCCAAGTATGCTCTTTGGCCAAAATCCGATATTAGTATTCGCAGCTCCAAGCCACCAGTTTCCATTAGCTAGGTCCTATATATTTTTCCATGGACATCAAAATTGAATAATTGAATAGAAGAATGCAAATTCTATTTCTTTACCACTTATCACTTAATTATGATTTTTGTTTCATAATTATTGGTGTAATAATTATTTAACACAATGGTAGCATGACTTGGGAACTTGTGATGTGCCAATACAGTGGTCTAGGTGTGGACTTTATGTATATTAAGAGTTTTCAAATTTTACTTGCAAGATGTAGATTTCCATCGCAACCGGTGTCCCTCCACGTATAGAGACCTCTGAAAATCCTGAACCAAGAGCTATTTCTGTGTCCACAATCACAAATCCAGGACAATTTGTATTGAAACAATGAGATTGACCTGCCTGTTTGGTAGACAAACATATAAGAATATATTGTAAGAGCTACTAAGAAAAATAGTCAATCAAAATAATATGCAATAAAAAGCAATGATACTTACATTCGTATATATGAATAGTCGAGTACGTGCATCACCAAACAAAGATGGATCCACCTGAGACAAACCAAAAACATAATGACAACAAATGCTTTTGTCTATGTGAAGCTAGTTTTTACTTCTGAAAATTGTTTGTAAAATAAGTAAGAAGTTAAATTTACAACAAGCAAGAAGATCAACTTACCCTCCACCCAAATTGTAAGCTATCAGGCCCATTTGCAATCATCATTCGCCCTGCACTATATTGTTTACCCACAACATCTGGTTGGTGTACACTAAGCACCGCTGACGCTCCACTGTATTTGTTTGGACCATCTATTGTCTCAACTATGGCATACTGGGTAAAAAATGTCCAAAACATATATGTTACTTTTATGTTTTCCCTATAACCTTTTCCACTATGAGAATCTGTACATATCCATATTGTTGGGAGAAAACCAAAGGCCAATTCGAAATACCCGAATCTGGCACAAAATAGCATAAGTAATTTCTCCCTCTTTGTGTGAATCTATTAGGAAACAATTTGAATAGAGCACAATATATATGTAATCTTAAAATAATAAATCTAAAAGTCACACAACAAGGCAAGAGCAATTTGCCGATCAAAAAAAAAGAAGGCAAGAGCAATTTTTACGTGGAAAACGTTTCCACCATGAGAGGAAAAAACCACGGGACCGTAGTCCATCAAATATCTCCACTATCAAAGAATAATGGGTGTACAAGAGTTCTCCCTAGTTAGTACCAGAGGCAAACAATCAAGAACAACTACAAATAAGTTTTCTTGGCAACCAAAGAACTAGTTACAAAGTTTAGGAAAGATCTCACAAAAACAGGGTATTGTTCACGAGCTAGAAAACCAAATTCAGAATGCTCCAAATCTGATCTCCACCATTCAGATCTTAGAGCCTTGAGTGTGAACTCGCCTTCCAAATTTCAGCTCAATCGGACCATGAATGCTTGCCGATCGAACTGTTTGATCAAAGCTAGACAGGGTTGGCTCCCTTTTTCCTCATATCTCTCCAAAAAACTGCTTGGCTCCCTTTTTCCTCTATTTGGTGGCTGCACTCTACTCTCTCTCTCTAGGGTAGTAGAGAGGGTTTTTGTCTCCTCGGTTTAATTTTAAAATTATAATTTGAGTGTACAGTTATATTTTGAGTTTTGAGTTTTTGCATCATTATTTGAAAAGAGAAAATTTGTTTAGTTATGAGTTTTGAAAATAATTTTGAAATGATTTGCAATTTTGTTTTTATTGATGTATAGAATGTGAGAGAATGTAAGAGGAGAGAGGAGAGATATGAGAGAAAAAGTGATTGATTGATTAATAATAAAAAAAGAAAAAGAAAAAAAAAGAGGAGTTTTGAAAGTATTTGTGTTGTATTTTAAAAATATGTTTGGTTAACAAGTTGTATTCAAATCATGATTTAAAAACAGAGTTGAGTTTTGAAAAGTAAATCAAACGCTACCATAATCTCTCCATGTAGGCTTGAGACTCACATAGAGAAAAAGTGATTGATTGATTAATAATAAAAAAAAAAGAAAAAAAAAAGACGAGTTTTGAAAGTATTTGTGTTGTATTTTAAAAATATGTTTGGTTAACAAGTTGTATTCAAATCATGATTTAAAAACAGAGTTGAGTTTTGAAAAGTAAATCAAACGCTACCATAATCTCTCCATGTAGGCTTGAGACTCACATGGGCTTTTACCGAATATTTAGGCCATCATCCACCTACGAGGGAAACCAACCCAACACACATGTATATATGTATGCGCTTGCTTTTTTTGTTGATTTCCCCCCCCCTCCCTCTATTCATTCAAAAAATGCATTGTGCCCTAACTGTAAGATTTAATTTTTAGTGTTTTTGGTTGTGCAGATTCAAGCCATGTAAACAATCACATCTACAAGTAAAATTATTATCAAAAGTTTGCCTAAAACTTTCAACAAGATGAGGCTAAACATAGCTTCAAAAAATGAGGACTAAAATCAATTTATAGGATCAAAAAATGTGTTTAGAGTGTTTTATGTGTGTGTTGACAGCTCATTCAAGAAGGTGATTCATATAAACAAATAAAACCAAATATAGAAAACAAGCAATAGTGCAAAACTAGTATTGTGAAGCTACATAATCTTGATTGACTAGGATAACTTACATCAGCACCACCGGTGTCATCTGCCGGAGTCATTATTTTTGAAGCAAGTTTCTTTCTAATGAGATCTTCTTTAGTAGTTCTTCTAATTGGAACTGTTCCAATCGGGCAACCTCCGCCCTTTAGTCCTATACGTAGAGGTTTGCTATCTTTTGAGGAAACTTGATCTCTTGATCTATTGGGTAATGAAGTGGGCTTCATCTGCAATTCAACTCAATCGAAAAAAGGTAAAGGAGACTTCCACATAAATTGATCACATAATGGCTTACAGAAAATTCACAAGAGTTGGATTCTACTGTTGGGTTCGTGCATATCTTGTTTTCTATGAGCCTCATAAAGTTATTAGTGTTGGGTGTGTATCAAATCAAATTTGTAAGATCCATACTGTATTTTGGGTTAGGTTGTGAAATCAAAAGTTCACTTGTAATTCAATGTGTAGGGTTTTACTAATTGTATGTGACTAACATTTCTATGGTTTGCCTATAAATATGAATCTTCTCTACACTCTCCTCTCTTTTATTGATGCTTAACCCAAAATTACATTTTATCTATTGTATTTGATCAATACAATTATTCCCTTTGCCAATAAAAAGAAGTATTGTAAAGGTGTGAGATTGAGATGGCTTGTAAAGATGTAGGGGATATGAAAAAATTCCGGGGACAATAATAGTGAGTAAGTAAGAACGTGTAGATTTTGGAATTAGTTAATCGTAAGTAGAGAAATGGGCAGAGTTTCAAGACTTTGGTATTGGTGTCAAATTTTAAAGGTTTTTGGTTTCGTTGTTGTACTCACTATGATTCATAGTATATTCTCTTTTGTATGCAAATCTTTGTGATTTTTCCCCTTTAGTGTGTGCATATGGATGTGCTTCCATTCGAATTTAGGATGTGCAGTAATCCCAAAACCTATTGTGCGAACTACAATGTTGAATAAATAATTTAGTAGCCTTCAATTATGTGTTGGAGATGAGAGGATGTATGGAGACAAACCTGAAAATGAAAAGTGTGGTTCTTCAGTAAAGGGTGATCAAATGCAGGCTGTTTGTAGAAATCCACGCAATCATATATATCTCCATAATTATTCTGTAAATGTTACAATCTTTTTGTTAATTTTTATATACAATTGTTCAATTCATGAAAGGTTGTTCACAATTTTGCACAAAGATAATAATACCGTATTCTGTATTCTCAAGTTTAGAATGTCAAATTTGATGGTTACAATTCAAGACATCCATGATATTAGGCCTAAGTTGCCTATTAATCTCTGCAATTTGATTTTCATAGAAAATTTAACTGGACAATATTGAAATTGAATGTCCTCGAAACTAGTCCCAGGACATCCTAGGAAACCGGCTCAACTTAAATTTTTATTTATTATGTTTGAGAGATAGTTTGTTGATAGATATGTATGTTCTGATTTGAAATTGAAGAGATAGATTTTTTTAACCCAATAAATAACTTTTTAATTTAAAAAATTAGTTTAATATTTTATTGTTAATTTGATATAAATTTAATTCATTCCATATTAGAGACAAAAGGATCCCATGCCGTACATAGAGATTGTGTTTGTTTGGGATTGTCTCTATATATCCTTTATATTGTGATTATTAAGTTCCATAAGAGGTAGATACAAAATAAGACATTAAGTATGGGATATTACTGATTATTGATCTCTATAAGGTGATGAGAAACCAAATGAGAGATTAAGAAGGGTCTGCATTGGTAAAAGCACCAAAATATTCTCCCATTATGGTCATTACACTACGTATGTATGTCTAGTGTGATTCCAGACAAACATGGGGTAGGATAAGATTTTACCAATTTCCCAGTCCAGGAACATTTCAAACTGGGGTACGATATGCAACTGATAACATCAACATCAATTATGGCAAGTCTATTAATCAAATATAATTTACTCCAATGAAACAAGCATAGCAAAATTGAATTAAGACTGTGTTTGGATTTTAAATTTATATATGAATTTGAAAAAGAAAATAGAAAACGAGAGTGAAAAGTGAATCAAATATAGTTATACTTTACCTAGCTATTCCATTTCTCTATCTAAATTAGTGATCCAAACGCAGTCTAAATGTTTCTAATAATAGTTGAGAATAAATACTTGTATAGTCTTGACTGCTGGCTTGTTGAGATGCTTAAGTTGCTCCTCCAACTCCAAATCTTCCTCTTTAGTTAAACTCCTCCAGTCTCCTTCAATTCCATCGTGTCCCACAAGGTGAGAGCATACACACAGAAATAATACAATAGCATGTAAGTCCATGGGATGATCTGGAAAATAATAAAAAAGCAAAGTAGTTAGTGATAAAAAATCACAACAATCATCTATAATTATTTAAGGCAATTAATGACATTACAATCGTAATACATCTATACACATAAGGTTCACATATTTTATTTTTGAACAAAATATATTTGTAGTCCTTAAAGTATGCGTTTATTGTCTTTTTGGTTCTTCAAGTTTTAATTTTGTCAATTTCATCATTGAAATGTCAATTTAAGTCAATTTGTTCCAATTCTAAGCGTACCGTCTAAATAGTTAACGGAATTGTAATAAAATACACACAAGTTCTTTAAAAGTATGTGTTTCTTGTCACTCGTATCACTTTGGTCCTTGAAGTTTTTAATTTTGTCCGTCATGAAACATTAATGAAGAAAATAAAACATAACCATACAATATTAAAGTACGAAATTGATAAAATTGATACTTGAGAGACCAACATGACACAAAATATACATTTTTAGGACCATAGTAAAATTTATAATTATTTTTTCTTAACGATTTAAACAACCATTTTGAGATTATATTAATTTGACTAAAATTGGCAATTTTGAAGCAAAATTTTGATATACTAAAATTAGTTATTAATTATTAGATTAACACCTTTAAAAGTTAGTCTTTCCACCCTTTGTAAATTCAACTCTCCCTAAGAAGAGTTGAATAACCTCCCCTGGGGACTAAGTTCTTAAGAAAGTCATGGTGGTTAATTAGGTTAGGCCTAGTTGATTGACCAAATTAAAAATTAAGGGACCAAAATGGTGGCAATGAATCTATATTTTACAGACTAGAATTGTAGTTTATCCTCAAATTTTTTTTTTTATTTATTTTTTTTTTTTTTGAAAGTTTGAAATATTATACATTCAATATAAAAGAGTGTAATAAAGATGGAGAAACATCTATCTCTAACTTTGTATAGTAGGAGAGGTCTAAAATCGGTTTTTTTTTTTATATTTATTATTAGCTAAGGTCCCTTAACATTTTCATAGAGAAAATTGGACTCAGAAAAATTTTACCAAACTTAAAAAATTTCGACCTCGACTCAGAGAAATTTAAAATTCCTTTTAAATTTAAAATTCCTTTGAGTTGGGAAAAATTTCTCTTATTCGAATTTTCTCTGTGAAAATGTTAAGAGTAATAATTAAATTTATTTCCAATGAAGTAATTTATTTAAGAATTTATAAATTAAAAACTCAATCTCTTGCATTACTCCAATTTAATTTTAGTTGAAAACTGAAAATATCAATTTGACTGCATTTATGGCTAACCATTGGGTTTTTTTATGGAAAAAAATTATACCAATGAGGTGATAAATTTATCATATAGGAAAATTCATTTAAAATTAGATAAGTCTTATCAAACTAACTTATTATTTTAAAATGTCATTGTCATATTATTTTAATTAAATTATTTATGTAAAATTTGTTTTTGTAAATCGATTTCTTAAATTTATTTTAATAAGAGTGCGAGAGAGCATTATTATTTATTTATTTATGATAACTTGGTAACCACCAATCTCACCGTTTACTAACAAATGGTCCAATTAAAGTATGGACTGACCCAAAAAATTGTTTGGGGCAAGGAGATTTTGAACTTAAGAACATAGAGAGAGCACATCCGCATTTCCCCGGCCTTGACCACCAGGCCAACTCCTTAGGTAGTGTTTCATTCATTGGAATGATTAAAGTGGAATGAAATTACCATTCCATCAAAATATTTATTCATTTGTTCGATTAAATTAAAAAAATAATAACAAACGCATTATAAATAGATTTACCTTTCACAAGTTTAAATAAATAGTCATTCCATAAGAAAGTCTATGGAATTACAATTCATTTTAATGAACCAAAAATAGAGCATAATGGTTAGCAATATTCTATTATGAAGGGAGTAAAAAAGACATGTCAAACTGCTAAACCAAATAAACCAAATAACAATGAAAATGAATAGACAAATTAAAGAGGAAATATTGAGTAAATTTACAAACGCACATACAAAAATCATGGCATAATTTGTTTAAAGTAATGATTTCCCTATTAAAAAAATGCAAGTGCGAATAATGTTATATTATTTGTAGGTAATTGAAGGAAAATACAATAAATTTTTATTTTTTTAATTTTATTTTTTTGAGTTTAGTAAAAATGGATTTAAATATACTAATTTTACAAATATTAAGCATGAATTAACACTGTTTTCTGTTAACAAATTTGCTTGATTGAATGACAAACATTTATTTAATTTCACTCTCTAATTTGGAATTCAGACTAAAACATCTTTACATTTGAAGGAAGTTGTAGAAATTTCTATTTAAAAATAACAAATTATTAACTAGGAAAAAATATAATGCCATAAATCATAAACAAATACCTGAAAGACAGTAGACTTTTGTCACAATAATGATTTTCAGACCTCAATACACATGGGAATGGGAATGGGAATGGGAATGGGAATGTGTGTGGTTCAAATATATATACTAGTAAAAGAAGCTGATGCCTAACAATGCCCATTATTATTTTGGTTAATGCTAATAAATGTCTCTGGGGTATTTATTTAATAAGATGTGGTTAAGAAAAATGGTAATAAATGTCTAGCAATGCCCATTATTATTATGATGATTTATTTGGTAAAGAGAAATGTTAGAGATCATGAAAATTTTGTCATGAAAAATTTGTGACCTTTAGATTACCTTGATTAGTGTGTGGTGTTTTATTGTAAGTGTAATTCAAAGGTCACAAATCTTTCATAACCATTTTCATGAATGACTTTTCATAATACCTAGCATTGCTGTTTGGTAAAAAGTTTGATATCCCTAACATTATCCATTTGTTAAATAGAGAATTGGGGTGCCTATTGTGCATCAAGCATGCGGGCTCTATTGTGCACGCTTTTAGGCTCACTCCGAGTCTTATATTGATAATTCGAACTATTTACTTTTTAGCGTATACCATGAAGAACATATCTATAAATAATAAAGTTGACCTAACAACAGTAACTCTTTCATCAAAACACATTTGTATTGATAAAAATAAATAGTAAGTGTTATTTTAAATATAATATTAAATATAAATATGTTTTGATTAAAGGGTTATCGTTATCCAATTAACTTATTTTTATAAGTATATTGTACACAATATATTCTAAAAAATAAATACTTTCAATTATTAAAATAAGAATCAGAGTGAGCCTCACCGTGAGCACAACAGTGCCAGTAGTGCTTGACATATACAATAGGCACCCTAATTTTTATTTATTTTTTGATCAAGACAATAGGCACCCTAATTCTAGGGTAGTATTAATTTTTCTTGATTTTAGTAACGGTCTAATTTTATTTTATTAATACGTAATTAATATTATATTAAATTTTCTTGAATTTAGTAATTTTCTATTTTTAATCTATTAATTAAGGGTAAATTACACTCCGCAGGCATGTGCTTATTAAATTATTATTTTTATTAAAGATTTATGCAGCAGAGTAATAAAAGGAAGATATTGACAATTGACTAAAAGTGCAGGAGTTGACTGTCATAATTTCATGTGTAATGATCAAAGTGAGATTTGGTAAAAAATACAGGGTTACAAAGTGTAATTTATTCATTAATTAAATTAGATGCATGTAATAGTTTTGTATTTTTAGCCTATTATTTAAAATTGAGCAAATTTTAAGAATCATGAAATAAAGTATTATTGGCTGCTGCTTATCACGTGCCCGAGAAGCACTTGGTAATTGTGAAATAATCACAACTTTTTAATAATTTTTTTTACTAAATAATTCATCTATAATGATTTGGCAAGGGTGTTAGGCTTTATATTATTGGATTTGTAATAAATCAAAATTGACACATATGATACTATATCATTGTGAGTACATAAAATTTTATGTGAGTCTTAAACATTTTCTTTTAGCAAAATAATCAATTCCCAACGGATCCATAATACACCATATTTGATGTTCAAATGCACCATCGAATGCAAGTTGAATGCATCCTTTAATCTTCATACGTTACGCCTGTTGGAAAACAGATCTTGGTAACGTTGAAGGAAGTGAAAATGCATTTATATTGTTTAAAAGCAAATGCAAACCTAATTTCTCGAACTTATCAACTTGTTTTGTTGTTTCATGGAGTGGATTAGGGTGGTTTTAATATGAAATTTCTGAATTCTCTTTGAAAGGTTATAGTTGATCAATTATGGATTAATTTTTGTTAACTGTTAGAAAATTTGTTTGATTGAAGTTCTTCATTAGAACATAGTAGCTATAGTAGCATCAAAAGGTTTCATGAAACCATTTTTTGAAAAAAAGAAAAAAGAAAAAAAAGGCCAAAATTGATCACAATTTATTTTTGTAAACTGAAATTAATAATACCAGAAAAAAATTGTTTTGTAGAAACAATCACAATTTTTTGAAGGTAATATTACGATTAAAAAACTGTGACAAACTATAACCATAAACAATCTCACCTTCAAAGATCATGCTTAATAAATTTTATGAGCTTTGAATAGAATTTTGGATTGTGTGTTTAGTAATAAGTTGTAAGTTTTTTAATCAAATATCATATGTCACATCAAAAATTTCAAACTCAATTCAAAACTTTTTTCAAAACTCATAACCAAATTAATTTTTCAGATTTAAATCATAATTCCAAAACTCACAAAATTAAAATACAACTCTATTCTCAAATCATAATTTTAAAATTCTACCAAACACTATCTAAAAATTTCTTAAACTCGTACGATTTGGCTTAGATTGAACCTGTTCGAGATTTTTATGATTTTTGTGGTTAGCTCTAGTTTAGGCTTTTAAGTTGAGAAAGGGCTTAAAAAATGCTTCTTATATGATCTTGCAAATCCTCTTCCGCTTATATTTCTATCAGGCCATCATTCTTATTAGAACATTAAATTTGGGGGTAATTACATAAAAATAAAAAATAAAAAAATTCCAATGTTTAATTCTTATAATAAAATAAATCTTAAATTTTTAATTTTGTCAATTTAAACTTTAATCTTTTAATTTATTTTTTCATCTAAACCAAAATCGACGGAAAAAAAAAAATTTAGTCTTTAAACTCGGTATACTTAAAATGTCTAAAATACATTGTGTAGTTGAATTTAATGATTAAAATACTTTTTTTTAATTTTGTTTTACTGAACAAAAATAGACAAATAATTTAGTTTGAAAACTTATTAAAAGTATAGGATTTAAATTACCAAAATAAAAAATTCAAGATTTATTTTATTATAAGAGTGAAACCTTGGGATTTTTATTTTTTATTTTTTTGTAATTACCCCATGCATTTTTTTTCCTTGTTTTTCCAAGAACAAATATTGTTTCCTAGAAATTGATTTTTCAAAAATATCACTTTTTCTTAATATTTAAATGGTATGAAATTTATATTTCATTATTTTTAGTATGACCAACTAATACATTATTTTTACTAACAAAATAAACAAATATTTTAAGTGATTAATTCATTTTTTCATTCTTTGCATGGGCTAAGTAATCATTTTCTAAAGGTGTGCTTCTTTTAAAGTCTCAAGTTCAAAACTTCTTAAGTGTAAATAATTTTTTTGGGTCAATCCATACGGGCTTTATCTCGACTTTAATTGGGATCCCTGCTAGTGGACGGTGAAACTGGCCTTCCAAATTAGTTGGCCAATGAACCGAATATAGAATTATAAAAAAATAAGATAAAAAACTCATTTCATAACAATTTTGACCTAGGTTCTAAAATGAAATAACATTAAATTTGAGGTGAGTAAAGAAAGAAAGCCTCGGGAGATTTTTCAGTAATATTGGCAGTTTTTTCCAAAGTAGATAATTTCAACTATAAAAGTAAAATTAAATGAAGATGAAACTCTTGTATCTTCATAAAAAATAAAATTAAAAGTAGAGTGATGCTATTTCTTCCTATTTTGGTCATTGTGTTTAAGTTTGTCCTTTTGGGCAAAGTAGAAAAACGCTTGAACTTTTGATCCAACAACAATGAGACTTTGATTTATGGAGCGAGTGTCTAATTAAATATAAATTAAGAAATAAGAGTGAGGATAAATTCAAAAAAATCTGAAGTCAGTGGCAGTGAGGGTGGAGTAGTGCATGTACAGAGTTGTTAAAAAAAAGGAGACGATTACCTGCTTCATTTTCCGGCAAATGTTGCAAGGCCATTTTATTGAGATTTTAGAAGGTTTTTTTGGGTTTTGATTATGATGATTTGAAACTGTTGGGAAAATGGTGTAATATAGACTTATTTTGGGCTATCCTTGAGCTCAAAATTGAGTGGGCCCTGAACGTCTTTTGGGGCGGGTTCGAAGAGGTGATGTGTTTCTTGCCGCATGGCAAGTCACACAGTGAAGACAGTTCGTCAAAACCATTTATGAGTGAATGGGAAGTTGACGTCGTTTTCGGGTTTGAGGAATGGACATTTAAAGACTTAAACGTGGGTTTCCTTTTAATGGGTTGTCCCACATTGAAACTTTAAGAGAGCTTTTTTGTTTATATAAGCTCTAGAATACAGCACTTGGGTTGGGCCCCAAGGGGCATCCAAAGTTTGTAGAAGGGAGGAGTTATGGACAAAGTAAACCTTAACCCAAACCACCACACGCGTGCCGTCGCCGCCGGCCATGTCGAGCGCGGGTGTGGGTCGGGTCGGTTCTCATATTAGTTTATTTGAATGTTTTCTAGAAATTCTTAATGAAATTAAATTCCAATTTTGTGTCAAAATTGAAATTAATTTCATGTCCATATACTTCCAATTTTAGTCCGTATTTTCAAACAGATTAATTGCTAAAATTGCTCATAACTGCCCAGCAGTTATAGTTTCTGATCTGCACTGTTTGAGAGGTTCAAACAATTCAAACAGATCTTATTTCCAGCAGTTATCTGTTCAGTTGGTATTTGCACCTGTTCATTTGAAACCTTACCTGTTCAAATTCAAATCTGAATCTGTTGGACAGATTCACACCTATTCGGACAGGTATTCTTTGCCTATAAATACCTACTGTTCCAGCAGTCTTGGAAACTGAAAAAATCAGTCTGAAAATCCCATCTCATTTGCTGTCCACTTTGGTCTAGTGCATATATTCTTCATTCTAGTTTTAGAGAAAAAAAAATAAAGAGAGTATAGAACACATGTTTGGTTCGCCGTACAAATTTGTTTGGAGTGCTACAACAATTTTGTGAAGATGATTGTATCTTGGGAGATAGACGCCACTCAACCGTAAGCACCGTAGCAGGGCCAATCTGTCTTAAGGACAGAGTGTCACACACTCGACTTGGTCTTTTATTTTTCTTTGGTATGACAAAATAAATTCTGTAAGTTTTATTTTATTTTGTTTGAATTAGTTTCAATTTATTTTATTTACATAGAAGATTGTTCCAACAATCCTAAGACAGATTCGAATTATTCTGTTTATAGAATTTTTTGTTTGTTTCCCTTTCTCTTTCTTCTTCTATAGAAATTATTTTCTTTTAATTTACAATATAATATTCTGGTTGGAAAAACAAATAGTGATTATATGTTATTTGACAGATAGTAGTAATATACTGTCTATTTTCTTTGACAACTAGTAGTAATATACTGGTTTCATTAACAATTCAGAATATTTATTTGTGGAATTTTGTCAGAAATTAATTTTGGTTTTTCGAAATTATTTTCTGAGTGTTCATTAATTAAAAAAAATTGTTTCAGTTTTTTTTAATTATTGAAGTGTTACAGAAATTTAATTTTCTGCGTGGAATTAATTTGGTTAAATAAATTTTATTTTATTTCCAAATTAATTGAAAAATAAAAGTTACATTCTTGTTTCTTTTATTTTTACAGATTTTAATTCTGTGAATTTGGATTAATTTTCTATGTAGTATAAATTCTAATTATAATTTTGTTTTATAATTTAAAATTCATGGCTACTAAAACAAATGCTCAAACAAGTACTAGTGTAGTGGCTACAATTGCGCCAACCCCCTCTCCTGTTGTGACAGTACCGGTAAATCACGGTGAGAAGCCAGAAAAGTTCTCAGGAATTGATTTTAAAAGACGACAACAGAAAATGTTGTTCTATCTTACAACTCTGAACCTGGCTCGTTTCCTCTGTAAAGATGCTCCTATTTTGAAAGATGATGAAACCGACCGGCAAGTGGTTACTACGGTTGATGCCTGGAAACATGCCGATTTCCTTTGCTGGAACTACATCTTGAATGGACTTGACAACATATTATACAACGTCTACAGTCCTATCAAGACAGCAAAGGAACTTTGGGAGTTTTTGGAGAAAAAGTACAAAACGGAAGATGCCGGCTCAAAGAAATTTGTGGTTGGCAAATTTCTAGACTTTGTAATGGTTGATTCTAAGACTGTGATCAGCCAAGTTCAAGATCTCCAACTCATTCTGCATGACATTCACGTAGAAGGCATGTCTCTCGGTGAATCCTTCCGAGTTGCAGCCTTAATTGAGAAATTACCACAAGATTGGAAGGAATTCAAGAACTACCTCAAACACATGCGCAAAGAAATGTCTTTAGAAGAATTAATTGTGTGTTTGAGGATTGGGGAGGACAATTGCAATTCTGAAAAGTGGACTGGTAAGCATCCTATGGAGTCTAAGGAAAATGTGGTGGAACATGCTTCAAAAACCAAGAAACGAAAGTCTTCCGGAGAAAATTCATCACAAGGCCCCAAACGAGGGGAAAATAAAAAAGTACAAGTTTAATGGCAAGCGTTACATCTGTGACAAAGAGGGACATCGGGACAAAGATTGTCGTAGCAAAGGCAAAAGCAAAAGAAGAACAAGCCAGAACTTTGCTCAAGCCCATATGACCGAAGTGGACAATATTTCCAATGGTGTAGATGACATTAATCTTTCTGCAGTTGTTTCTGAAGAAAATCTTGTCGAAAATCCTAAAGAATGATGGGTGGACACTGGTGTTACTCGTCACATTTATGCCGACAAAAGGATGTTCACATCTTATTCTACAGTGGACAATGGTGAACAACTTTTTATCGGCAACTCCTCAACTTCCAAAGTTGAAGGACAAGGGAAGATTGTTCTGAAGATGACATCTGGAAAGGAACTCACTCTCAACAATGTGCTGCATGTACCAGACATTCGCAATAGTCTTGTTTCTAGATCTTTGTTGAGTAAGAATGGGTTTAGGCTAGTGTTTGAGAGTGATAAATTTGTACTTACTAAGAATGAGATGTATGTAGGAAAATGTTACATGTCTGATGGCCTTTTCAAGATAAATGTAATGACCGTTGTACCCTCAGTTATTAATAAAAATGCATCTTCTTCATACTTGCTCGAGTCTTCAAATTTATGGCATGGTAGACTATGACATGTTAATTATGGATCTTTACGTAGATTAATTAATATAGAATGTTTACCTAAATTTGACATTGATTCAAATTATAAATGTGAAATTTGTGTTGAGGCAAAATTATCCAAATCTCATTTTCATTCAATTGAAAGAAGTACGGAACCACTTAAATTAATTCATAGTGGTATTTGTGATTTTAAATCAATTCAAACTAGCGGTGGGAAAAAATATTTTATCACTTTTATAGATGACTATACTAGATATAGTTATGTTTATTTAATTCGAACCAAGGATGAACCTTTGGAAACTTTCATTCAATATAAGAATGAAGTTGAAAATCAACTTGGTAAGAAAATCAAGAAACTTAGAAGTGATAGAGGTGGTGAATATGAATCACCTTTTGGTGAGTTTTGTAAAGAACATGGAATAATTCATCAAACCACCGCTCCTTACTCACCTCAGCAAAATGGAATTGCTGAAAGAAAAAATAGGACTTTAAAAGAAATGATGAATGCCATGTTAATAAGTTCTGGATTACCTCAGAACTTGTGGGGGGAAGCAATACTTTCTGCTAATTATAGTTTAAATAAAGTCCCTTGAAAGAAAGTGAATCAAACACCTTATGAATTGTGGCACGGAAGAGTACCATCCTACAAATACTTAAAAGTGTGGGGAAAGAAAGTGGATAGAAAAGTAGAGAGGAGATATTGATAGATGTTGATTGATGTAACCCAAATAAGTGTAGAAATTGAATCCATTTTGCAAAATCACACTTGGGAATTAGTGGACTTGCCACCAGGTTGTAAACCTTTTGGGTACAAGTGGATTTTCAAACGAAAATTGAAAGCGGATGGATCAATATATAAATACAAGGCAAGACTTGTAGTCAAAGGTTTTAGACAAAAAGAAGGTCTTGATTACTTTGACACATCCTCACCGGTTACTAGAATAATATCCATTAGAATGCTAATTGCTATTGCATCTTTATACAATCTAGAAATTCATCAAATGGATGTAAAAACTGCTTTCTTAATGGTGAGTTAAATGAAGAAATTTACATGGAACAACCATAAGGTTTTTCTGTTCCAGGAAAAGAAAAGAAAATGTGTAAATTGGTTAAATCATTATATGGTTTAACACAAGCGCCAAAGTAGTGGCATGAGAAATTTGACAAGGCAATGATGTCAAATGATTTTAAAAGTAATGAGTGTAACAAATGTGTTTATATTAAAAACACAGCCAAAGGTTATGTCATTGTATGTCTTTATGTGGATGATATGCTCATCATAGGTAGTAATAATGATATGATTCAAACTACTAAGAAAATGTTGAATAAACATTTTAACATGAAGGACATGGGCATTGCTGATGTAATTCTTGGTATGAAAATTACCAAAACATCAGAAGGATATGCTTTGTCACAATCTCATTACATTGAGAAAATACTTGACAAATTCAGCAAAGATGATGATCATCTTGCTAGAACTCCTGTAGATGTTAATTTGTATCTTTCTAAAAATGTACAGGAAAGTATTTCTCAATTAGAGTATGCCCAAATTATTGGAAGCTAGAACACCTGTAGATGTTAATTTGTTTCTTTCTAAGAATGTACATGAAAGTATTTCTCAATTAGAGTATGCCCAAATTATTGGAAGCTTAATGTACTTGATGAACTGCACTCGCCCGGATATAGCTTATGCAGTCAGTAAATTAAGTAGATATACGAGTAATCTGGGAGTAGAACACTGGAAAACAATTATAAGGGTTCTAAGATATCTTCCGATTTACTCGTAACATTGGCTGAATTATACTAGATATCCAGCAGTACTTGAAGGATACTGTGATGCAAACTG